GGGGAGAGGAGGGCGCTCGTCTGGCGCCAATCCGACCCATGGGGGAGGAAAGCGCTCGTCTGGCGCCGGGCCGGACGGTGCGGGCGGGCACTCACCTCATCCAGATCCTTGGTGCGGCAGCGGAGCCGCCAGCGCTTTTTCAGGTGCGTGTCGCCGTGGTGCATCTTCTTCCGCCGCTGCGGGCCTGGCATGTTGGCCTGGCTGGGAGGATGGGACTGAGGTGTCCGGTCCAAACTCTGCACCCGCACACTGACTGTCTACCACTGCAAGCACAAACCAAAACCAAAACTGAAACAGTGACAATGCAGGGCTTCTGCGCATTGTATGTTTGTGCACCTACAACAAAAAGTGTTTTTTGGACACTTCAGCTTCAGAGGTCCTGCAATGGCCAACTTGCACAGGTACTGTTGTATACAGCTGATGCAACCAGTGTGCTGCTTGACTTTAATAAAAAAGGAGAAATCCATTCATGGTAAAGAATGAGTTTTCCATGAGTGAAGTAGTTGTTCAGTGAGCCATTGAGAAAGAGTCTCCTTGACAGCTTTGGCTGAGAAGATTTTGACACACTGCTCATGTGCCCTCCCCACATTAAAGGAGCTGCAGCTAACCAGGAAGTTATTAAATAATTAACAGACCACAAATCAGTGTCTGCATAGCTCAACAGGCAGAAAAATTCCATGCCACAGGTATAAGGTCATGGCACACCCAATCCATTTAGATCTCACACTGTAGATTATATCTGATTGCTATGATGTCCCATTCTTATAAGAAAGAAGAAATGTGAACACAATAGTGAATGAATTATTATGACTCCAGAACCAGACAAGGGCTATGTAACATCATCTTTCTCTACTTCCAGTAGTTTCCTTCCAGACAAATAGTGTTCAGACAATGAAACAGAACAGGATAAAAAACATTGGGCAAGTTGAACCATTTAACACCATGTTCTGCTAAATTCAGAGATAACAGCATCAGTAGCAGGAATGGGGCTATGAATTCCAGAGCTATTAGTAGGGTTAGGATAAGAGTCAAGTACAAGCATGGATGGATGCTTCATAGATGTGAGGGAGAGGGAGGGGTACAACATATACCACTTCCAAATTAGTCAAAAGCATCTCCCAAAGTTTGAGGTTTGATAAAAGGTACATGAGGTAAGCATAAAAGGTTTGAGTGATGCACATAAGCTAAGAGAAAGCATATAACAGCTAACTGAAAGGGATGCAATGTTGCTAGGAGGAAAAAACAATAGTGGGACCCCTTCTCAGCCTAGACTGCAAAAAATTGATCCCTGAACATGATATGCTGATTATGCCTGACACAACAGCAACAACACAGCAACACGTTCAGCCAGTGCACACCACAGGCCCAAGGATTCAGACTTTGGAGCGTGATCACCCAGCATGCTGAAAAGCCAGTGAGAGGCTTTTTTAACTTAGGATCAATATGACTTATTATCAAAACAATTGTTACAAATAATCTTGAACATAACTAGAACCACTCCTAAATGGGAAGGGTAACAACGGGGCACTACGAAAACAACATTGCACGTGCATTCACGATCATCTAGCCATCCCTCTCGCCTATCACCAAGCACAAAGTTCTGTACCCAAATACTTAGATGAAGAAAAAAGGACAAAAACATTTAAAATGGATAAGATTCTCCCTACACATTCAGCAAACGCCAAAGGCTCTGATGAACACGTGCTCCAGTCGTGTTGTCATTGGTCACATCTAATGATATGTCTCACATGCGTCAGATAAGACTCAATATGTCCTGTTGACGACATCTAACACAGTCTTTATAACTTATAGTTATACGTTTTCAGTAATAGGCCCAACTTATAAGCCGCGTTCCACGTACCGGAAGTGAAACTGCTACTGCCGGTGCTCGCAAGGGATGCCATGTCATATTTTCAATTAGGTGACCTCTGACCCTACGTATTCCCGCTACAGGGATGCCATCTATCTGCAGCCCACACTCAGCTACATATGTAAGCTCTGCCGTCCCGGTGTCTCGCCTCCGGCTCACTGGTACACTCAGTATGTCTAAAGTCACTTTTGTATTTGACACACGTCACAGCACTACGAACAAGCCCATCCCCGCGGGCGCGTCCGCCCTCGCGCCGGCGGCTCTCCGAGTCTTCTCCTCGTTACTCCCCCTATCCTGGCCCCCGTGGCCGCGTCCCCCGCATGGGACGCCTGGTGCCGGAGGAGGAGAACGCGAGCGCCGCTTAGAGGCGCTCGCCAAACTAAGTAACATTCACTGGCTAGCACATAGGTGGTCTCCGACACCTTACACATACGTATGAGAAAAATTCGCTCCGGAGGCTGCAGAGCCGGCCCACCCGACCGGAACCGAGGCGCCGAGCCCCGCTCGAGTGACAGAGACACGCCCAGCTTCAGAACAGAGCTACGTTCGTTTTCAGGACCACCAGGGCACGACGCGCTTAGAAAGTGCCCAGGCGGTGCCAGATCAATCGCCTGGGCGCCAGCTGGACTCGGCCGGGCGACCACGAGCCAGCAAGGGCGAAACCGTCCAGCTCTGCTGATGGCCACATCGGGAGGGCGACCGGAAGCCGACCGGAGCTGACCGGAGCCGACCAGAGCTGACCGGAGCCGACCGGAGCTGACCGTAGCCGACCGGAGCTGACCGGAGCTGACCGGAGGCTGACCGGAGCCGACCGGAGCTGACCGGAGCTGACCGGAGCTGACCGGAGCCGACCGGAGCTGACCGGAGCTGACCGGTGCTGACCGGAGCCGACCGGAGCCGACCGGAGCTGACCTGAGCCGACCGGCGTACCTGTCAGTGGATCACATCGCTTTGGTACGCCAGAGATTTTCCGAGGACGCCATTGAGGACAGGGGCAAGCGTGTCCTACTTCAACGAACCGCGCCGCCATCAAGGACGCAACGAAGGGGAAGCTGCTCACTTTTCACCATACACGGCGTATACAAGCCCGTCATCATCCCTGAAGCAAGCCCCTGCCCGCGACCACGCCCGACTGGGAAGGACGGCGCTGGGAACAAAGGCCTGCGTCCCGCGGCATAGCACGCCGCTTACCGGCACCAACACCGCTGCCACCCAACCGTCGGAGGCATCCCGTTCGGGGCGCACACCTGCGACTGAGTCGGGGGTGACCAGAGCACCGCTGCTGCAGTCGAGCCGGGGTGACCAGAGCACCGCTCCTGCGGCTGAGCCGGGGTGACCACAGCAGCACTCTTGCGTCTGAGCTGGGGTGACCACGGCACCGCTCCTGCAGTCGAGCCGGGGTGACCACAGCACCGTTCTTGCGGCTGAGCCGGGGTGACCACAGCACCGCTCCTGCAGTCGAGCGGGAGTGACCAGAGCACCGCTCCTGCGGCTGAGCCGGGGTGACCAGAGCACCGCTGCTGCAGTCGAGCCGGTGTGACCGGAGCACCACCCTTGTGGCTGGGACGTAGTGGCGCAGGAGCAGTGTTCTGGTGCCCCTCGCTCCAGAAATCGCGAGCGCGCGGGATCAAATCTTGTGATGCAATTTGTTTCACCAATCGATTCTGCAAAATAATGAATGTTTTCATGCAAAGATGGGATAGTCTTATTCACTTTTGTACACATTTCGATCTACCCTATTCACCACTAATGATACCCTTACTTTTTGGGCAAAGAGCCCCCTTGAGTAAAACACTAGGTGGCACATTATTGTTCCCGGTCAAGAGCTGAGAGGCCTTTCCGTCCCACTGCGGGGTGTCTTTCAGCCGCCATTCTGGCGACACGAAGCGGAATCCCCTGGTCAATCCGACGGCCCTTAGAGGGATACATCACATCACATTGGTCTCCGTTCAGACGCGGGAGACCTGATCGGCGCGGTTGGCGCCGGACCGACACAGGAACCTTCGTTGACGTAACAAGATCTCTTATCGCAGCAGGTGGTCCAATAATTGGCACATAGACTGTTGACTGTTGAGCCAATTCTTAATGAATAATGAATATATTTTTGTAACAGAACAAGTAGTAGAAAAGTACCCATATTTCATCTCATACTAAGCCATCAGTCAGCTTTCTATCGCTAAGGTAAACATTTTTTTCTTCAAGTAAATGAGCCATCGTTTTTGAATTATGATGAAAATATTGAGAGATAAGAATGAAAACGTCATCAAACACATACTAGATCGTAAGATGTCAGCAAAATGTACGCACATATACCTTCATGAACCTCCCAACACCTATGCATCACTGATCCCAATCTACTGGAGGAATGCTTTCGATCACATTGGCTTTACGTCACGCCGGATCCTTACGTAATTGAACATCCTGTCTTCCAGAACAAAACGTCTCTTCGAAAATCAGTGGGACCTCATTTTCGGTCCGGAGAGCTGCCTCCTGTTGTACAGCGGCTTGAAATCACCCAACTCATCTGCGTGACGAAACCGTTCCCCGTACTGGGATGATCCACCCTCGCCAGGACACGTGCAGGTCGCCCTTCTACAATGCGGCAACGTGTCCTCCGTAGTTAGCATGGGCTCAGCGCGGCTGGCCGCTATTGGCGAGGCGTCCGCCTGAACCCCGTCATCTGGACAGGCTCGACACGGCGATCGCGAACGCTCTGTAGAAATGACTGGCTTGAAATATTGATGCGAGCTGCGATGATTGAAAAGCAATACTCTGCTGGCTGTGGCATCACCTCGGATTCCTTCCGTTCTCTCTACCCGTAATCTCATACTGTAGAAATAGTATGGCCCGACAGACTTCTCGTCGTTTAACCGACGACAGTTAACCCAAAGAAACCGAAATGTTCTCCAGTTATAGCAGGCTGCAGCACGTACCCAACGAGGAACTTCAAGGGCACTACATTCCGAAACTGCCGAAAACACGTCTCCGACAGCCACGATGGGACACGCCACCTGCCAAGCTATTCTGGTCGTTGGACGCGGGCGATGCATTCTGGGCAGGGCCGGTCCTGAGCAGGCCGCTGCCGACCGACGTTCTGCGCAGCGGCCCTGTACCGGCCCGCACCGGATCAGTGCTCGACGATCAGCGTCGGCGGCAGCGTTCCGGCTCATTCGCTGTAGGAGAGACTTCGAGAAAGGACATCGGGATAGCAGGACCGCCGCCACCACACCGCAACGATGGGCAAGGGAGGACCAAGTGAGTACTCGCGCATTTTTTGCAAAGCCCGCGCCTGCATGGGCTGTTCTGTTTCGTTTTGCGGTAATCATAACTTTACTGCGGTCGATCGTGTGCACGTGTTATGTGGGCTGTGAGTATAGAACTAAAGTTGTCCAAAATCGAAACTCCTATCGGGTTGGCGACCACCAGGGTGGGTTTAAGGAAAAGCTGTAACATTTTATCCGAAAATGCAATCTGTGCGCGACCCCCGTCATACGTCGCCACACATCACCGGAAGCTATTCAACTAATCCGCGAATGGAAGGCGTCAGGAGTCGAACCAGACCTGCAGAGGTGGCGGTGCTCGTGCAAACTGTGGTCGGCTGAACGCAGCTAATTTCGTTCGTAGAGAAGGGAGCCGCCGCGGCACCCGCCGCTCCGGCTACCAAGAGCGAAGCGAAGAAGGGTGAGAAGGCGCCCAAGGAGGCCAAAGGTGGAAAGAAAGGTACGGGAGCTGATTGTAGTGATTTTCGCCTCACCTCTTTTACAAAGCAAAGCCCGGTGGTGGAAGCGGCTTGCTTTGCTTGTTGGTTTGTGCGAGGTCCAAAATCTGGCAAGGTAGGCTTGCTGATGTGCCCCCGCTGATGTCAAAAGGCAAGACGCTCCTGGTGAATTAATCTCAGGGCTGCTACCTGTCTTAAAGACTAAAATTTGCAACCCATGGTAAGATGCGTCGTAATTTGTCGGCGATTGTTGGTCTACAATGCAAATAGGCCCATTTTAAAGTCTGGGAACCACGTCACTTCCTAACCCCTCTCACGTTTTAGCCTCCCTGACGGTTTGGAAAGTTCCACTCATGCTATGGTCTCGTCGGGATAACTCGGCCATCGTTGTATCATGACAAGGTCTCGCGGCATGCGCGTACCCCTCGACGACAGGCGTCTTCAACAGCTGCTGTGTTGCAGGTGGCAAGAAGTGACGGCGGCGAGTCGTGATGCCACGGCGTCCACATCTGTTGGCTTCACTGGGCGACGCGCTCCTGGCTTCGCTGCCGATCGTGGTCGAGACGCACCATAAAGCGCCCGTGAGCTCGGTCCGAGCCGGTCGAAGACAGAGCTGTTCGCCCTATTTCGTTGTGTTCAAGGCTGTGTGACAGTTTGCTGTTCCTCTATCGTACCTGTCTGGCACAAGAGGCACTGCCGAGTGCCAGTTGGGCACGCGGGCGTCTATCGTAGAACGAAGCAAACGCGATGTACTGTGGTCACGCTCACAGTCGAACGGCCGTTGTGCGCTCGTCGCCGAGGCTACTGAGCTTGTGTGTAGTGCTTCTTACAGGCAAGATGGCCTACCTTGATTGTCCAGTGTTCAGTGTCACCAAATAAATGAGGAGTTGGTACTTGAATGGTTATCATTTCAGATATGCGCCATTGCATATATGGTCAGGTTTTGAAATTTCTACGATGCTCTTACTCCTTACGGAGTGGTAAGGAGCACGAGCATCACAAAGACACAAGTGGTCAATGAAGTAAGGTTACTGGCTCCAATAGACAACATTTATCAATAGTTACACGGATATGTTCGATAAACTTTACCGTGGGGTCAGCTTCGGGCCTGCGATAGTCCGTGGACGAAGTGTTCCCGGTTCCTTACATACTTAAGTGAGGCTCGCGCCACGCGACATTAATGAGCTCAACAGGAGAATTACGGGCTCTGTATAAAAAACTAGCTGCAAATTTTGATGTCGCCTCTTTGATGATTTAAAGTAAATTATTTTTCGGCATCGCCTCCATCATTGCCATCATCATCATCTTCACCATCGCCTCCGGACTCTTTCCCCTTGCCATATGTAACCTCAAAGCTAAAAAATCAAGTTTCGTCCGCGCTCAACGGGAGCCGCACACATTTTGCTCCCCGGATGTAGGTGCGGAATTCTGGGCCCGCCTGGGTTGAGCCGTGGCGGGCGTTTTTTCGTCCCCCCCCCAAATCTAAACTCACATCCCGAGCGGTGTGAATGTGCTTCTGAATGGAGGCCAGGTCAACAAGGCTCGTTCAGCTGGCTTACGGCCATCCGACGCTAATCAGGAAACATGAAACGCTCTATTATCTCAGCCGGCGATTTTGTTAGCGGCCAAAGACAAGCTTATTTTGAAAAATGGTTTTGTCAAATAAAATCCAATAAGTTTAGATCAATGCTTTGCACAACATGTTAGGTGATAGGGAGGTAGCCCAACGTGTCTCATCAACTCATCCAAGTCTTTTAATAGAATTGGCACAACAATTAAGTACATTTGCAGGTGAAAAAGTGAGGCGACTGCAGTGAACTTCAGATCATGTCAGGTCTTGTGATGACCTTGTGCACGCAAGTATAAATGATACATTTCGGACACAAAATGCAATGCCAGGTCCAAATGGCTAACCACTTGATCAAATACAACCTATTCAAAGATAAGTCGTGAATATCTGAAAATTATCAGTTTTTGGCGCAAGGCATAATGTCCCATGAACTTGAACATGAGACGCCATGACCTGAAAAGTCTTTTTTTCAAGAACACTACGAGTGGAAATAACTCAAATAACGGGGGATTTTTTCGGCTTTTACGTGACATCAAACACTGTGACCTCTAGACATCAACGCATGCAAGACCGGTAACCGTTGTGTACAAATATAATACGTGATGATCGGTAAGCGGGGCAACCTAACGTGTTGAAAACAATATAAGCATGTTTTAGTTGTTGGCCGATATAAACCTGTGCTCACCTGCTTTATTTATATGTACACACTACCTGAATGCACTTTTTATGCCCGATATGATCGAACAATGGGCACCACTCAACTCGCCATTACATTTGCTGTCCGGAAATGCATGATTTGTGCTTCCTTGCTGAAGGTCATCACGCGACCTGACATGATATCATTATCTCATTTGCCCATGCGCAAATTTTCTGAAAGGTGGGTGAAAATTTAAGTTTTTAGGAAGTGTTGTCATGGATTGCCCAGACAAACACCACATTCATTCATGCCAGATAAACATGCCAGGCAGTGCAGCGCGGTTTCGAAGGTCTCGATGACAGGACAGCTCTATTTCCGCGGCCGGTTTCTCCCTGGCTTGCCGATGGCTCAGGCCCACATCATTGCCGCAACAAGAGAGGCCTCGGCTTGCAGTCCTGAACACGACGAGGGTCTCGAGCCGCCTCATCGCAGCGGAAGGAATGCGAGCCTTTCCGCCTCGGAGGTCCGGCTCGGCACTGTGAGCCCCCGGCAGCGGCCGTTTTCCGGCTAGAACCGGATCGGAGCTCGCCGGCGATCGAAGTGGGGTTCGGCGCGGCGCGAGCTGTGCTCGGCAGCGGCGGGCGTCCTGGATCTCATTCGCTGCTAGATGGACTTTCAGGAGGGACGCCCACAGCGACAGGACTGCAACCACGCCGCAACAACGGGCAAAGGAGGATCGACTGAGCACTCACGTGTTCCGTCCGGGGTCCGCGCGGGCAAGCGCTACCCTGTTTCGTTTTGCAGACTGCATAACGTTGTTACCTTGCATCGTGTGCGTGTATAGTATGCGCTGTGAGTTCAACCCGATGATGAGTGATTTGAGTGCCTCCTGGTTGCGACTGCCGGGGTGCGTTTGTGGCAGCGTGGTGTCGCTAGACGCGCGGCCTGCGCTCATCGCAGTCAGCTTCGTTTGCAAGTTAGCGCTTCCTTGTTTGCAAATTGAGCGTTTCAATCTTTGATGAAGTGGCAGTATGCACACACATATGACGTTGACTATTGCTACTGAATGAAAGCCCTGCAGATAGAAGCTACGATTGACCTACCACAAGGTCGTTTCCTATTTGAAATGCAAAATGTGCGAAATATCATGCTTGTTGACTTGCAACGCCATAGTTCTAGAATTTAATTCTACTTAATGTGGGTGTTGCGGGCCTCCTTCCTGCCCCAGCCCCCATGCCTCCGTGTCTTCCAATATTTAAATAAGACTACCTTCCGCGGAGCATATCCCTGCCCAGTGCGACCGTTGTCGACTTCCTCCATGTCCCATGATGAACTTCCTCCATGGTCTATTTCCAGTTCACACTCACCCCAATTTGAAACCTCCATGCATATTGGCTGCGGAGCAATGCAATACTTACGCCACCTTCATAATGGGACGCTAAAACCACTGGAGAAGCTTGGCCAAATACGTCTATGGGGGTCTATGAGGCGTTGAGTCAGGCCCGCAGAGGAGACGTAGTATGTGCAGGCTCCGGTCGGCTACACACAGCTAATGCGAGCCTTCGTTTGCAGAGAAGGGAGCCGATGCCGCCATTCTGGCCTCTAATTGTGAACAGAAGAAGACAGAGCAGGCGCTTAAGGAGGCCGAGGCGGGAAAGAAAGGTGCGAGATGGGAGTCGGCGCACTGAGATAGGTTTCGGTTCTTCTCTTTTGCAAAGCTAATCCCAACAGCGGAAGCGACTCGCTTTGTTTGCTCTTCGGCGTGAGTTCCAAAGTGTAGCCAGGGCTCTGACGGGTCTCCTGTTGCATCAACATTCGGATAACTTTCTGCGTTCGGAGGTAGAACTTCTGAAGGTCTTTTGGATGCAGTGCAGATGGATGGATGCGTGCTTGAAGTTTTTAAACACTGCGCATTGGCCCACTCTTGAAATAGAGAAAGCTCCTTGCTTTCTAGCTCCTCTATCAGTATGGCAAGTTTTACCCAAGGACAAAGCATCCGCCGCGGTTGTCGTTACAACATGGCGACATAACACATGTCTTAATGGGTGTCCCTGCTTGGGCGGCACTGCATTCTCGCAGTATGCGCATACCCCTCGACGACAGGCGTCTTCAACAGCTGGTGTGCTGCAGGTGGCAAGAAACGACAGCGGCGAATCGGGGTACCACGGCGTCCGCATACGCTGGCTTCACTGGGTGGTGCGCTCCTGGTTTCGCCACCGATCGTGGTTGAGACGCATCACAACGCGCACATGAGCTCGTTCCGAGCCGGTTGAAGACAGAGCTGTTCGCCTCATTTCGTTGGGTTCAAGGCTGTGGTGAGTTTGCTGTTTCTTTGCCACCCATCGCAGGATGAAATAACTCCAGCTCACTGTGGTTATGCTCGCAGTCGCGCAGCATTGTTGATCATCGCGGAGGCCGCTGAGCTTGTACACAATTATTATTACATGTAAGAAGGTGTGCCATGTCTGCTCAGTGTTCAACAATGCGACCAAATGAATGGAGAGTTGACCACCTGAATCGTTGACATCATTTTAACGCATGTAAGTACGCGGCTGGCAGGGGTGTAGTCCCATTTTCGGTTGGGGGACGAGATCTCCCCAACATTGAGAGCAAAGTGTGCCAAATTCGCGAAGACACACGTTTTTTGCTGGATTTTGGCGGTGGGCTGCGCACCACCTTCACTAGCTTGGGGTTGCCAGGGGAATCTTGCAAAACACAGCCCTGGTGGCTGGTCAGTCCTTAAAATGACTGAGCTATACATTCTCGGTTTCGAACAGTTCATTCACAACAGGATATTTGGCCCACAGGATAATAATTTTCACGTTAGATACACGGAAGTTTCGCCATATATTGCTGATTAACCTAGCACTCTTTCTTGCCAGAGCGTCTAGGAAATGATTATCTGTAAGGCGGCAAAACATTCAGTGGTTTTCGAGACATGACAGCCGTTAGTTTAAAACCGTCCACAAGACGTACGTCGAATAAAAGGTGAGTGGTGATATTTCCTTCGTGCTCCACCTACTCGGGCTGAATGTGCTTTTTGAGATCCAGAACATACTTTGAGAGCAAACCACGGGGGGATTTGCGAGCAAGCCACAGGGGAAAGGGAATTTGGGCCAGTCGAATTCCGGATAACGAAAAAATGAAATCAGCGTATTTTTCCGACCTTGATGTCATGCTGACAGTTGCAGACGATATCTAACTTCCGGTTTGTTTTTCAGCTAGAAGCCAAGTTATCTTCGTTAAAACCAAGTTCAGACCCGGACTGCAAAATGGAGTTGGCTACAATAGGAAGTGTACAGCATTTCTACACTTGTTCCGTGTTCAGATGAGGTTGTCACGTAACATGCTATCTACAACAAAAAAAACGTACGTCTGTCCGTAGGTACGCCTATTTTTTGTCGCTTTTCGCTTTCTGACCCATGTGCAGGTCAAGCAGAAGGCAGTTAAGAGCTTTCACAGCGCGCATGCGCAGCTGACGACTCGATACCGGGGTGTTCACTGGGAGGGGGGGGGGGGGAACCCGGTTTAGTGGTGAGAAATTTGACGGTCACTTATGGGGTTAGTGGGTTTTCCCTCAGATAACATGCGTAAATAGGCCCTGTTGGGATAACAATCAACTCGTTCAGTACAAATACATCCGACGATCTTCTTGATGACCTAAATCCCTTCCACAGGTTGGGCCCATGTAG